ACCGGTTTTTGCATGGGGTCACCCCACTGTGCTTTAGAGTGCACGGAGGCGTGTTCACCCCTGTTTGACTTCATTACCAGAGCTTTGAGTGTGTGTTTGGTTTATTTCCTTTAAATTCCGTTATAATTGCTTATCTTTTGACAGATACGCGTATTTCGTCTACTACTTGCAGACTTCATCAGTGCCAAGTATGTGGTGTTGAGTACTTGGCACTGATGAAGTCTGCAAGTAGTAGACGAAATACGCGTATCTGTCAAAAGATAAGCAATTATAACGGAATTTAAAGGAAATAAACCAACACACTCAAAGCTCTTCTCTTCCGTTAAGAGGTTCGAAAAATTTAAAAGATTCATTACCAGATTCTTTGCAGCCATACTCAATGCGTGAATTTTTAAGATTCAGAGACTTAGAAAATTTTGCAATCTCTTCAACTTGGAACAATGTTCAGGATTTCGGTTTCAAATCAATCTTTCTTGATTGAGAGAGTTGGATTTTTTTTTCTTGGACTAATCAGGAACTAAACAATTATAATCTTTTAACAAAATTTATATTTCATCTTATTTCGCTAGTCCGAATCTTGATAAAAAAAACACAAAATTGTTACTTTTGAGCTTTTACACTCCACTAATTTTAGATTTAATATTTTAGTATAGGTTTTATTAATTTTAACATATTTAATGGATTTATGGAACATGGAAAAAAAAGAAAACAAAATATTTAAAACTGATGGTACCATTCCCAGTCTCATACGAATACAAATAATCTCGAAAATCTGAACTAAATTTTTAATTTATTAAAATCTTCTTAATATGAGTACTAAAAATTTATCAAGATTCTATAACTAAAACATTGAAATAAATTCATCTTCCCAGACTTTGTTAAAAAGCAAAGTCGCATGAATTTAAAAGATTCTAATCCCAAGTAACAATTTGGGTTTTATGAGGGTTCTGTAGACCATGATTTAGACTTGTAGTATGCTATAAAACCTCAATAAAACTTGCAATGTTGCTTGGGATGATTTGAATAATTTGTATTTTTTTGACAGGATTAAAAGAAAAATTACAACTTTCGACATGGACGAATAGAGTAAAAATTTACTTCCCATTTCGGGCCTATCGAGCAGAAAACATCACAAACGTCTATGATTTTGGTGTTATCGAGTCAATTTTATGATTGGTATGCAAAGTCACAAGGTGAAAGTGACAAACATCGACGAGATGTTTTTGCAATCTGAAGTGACATCTCAGGGAAAATCATTTTTGAAATTTGAATTTACACACTAGGTCACTGTCACTTTAAGAAAGCAAAGTATGAATATTTACATCCTTTGTTCTCAGAAACAAAGCATTCCAAGCGAATAAATTTTTCCATTCCTTTTCTACCTTCATCCTTGTGATGAAGTAATTCCAATTACGTTCGTATGCGTTTGTACGAAATTGAATTCCGTATGCCGAATTTAGAATCTAGTAAGCAGTAGAGGTGGGAAAAACAGCTCATCTGGCTGAGTGGATAAAACCCATCCAGCTCACTAAAGGGAATCAATTCTTTTGAACAGCTCTTCAGCTCACATTGAAATTATAGAAATTATGACACAAATTCCAAATCGGAAAATTAATTAGTGGTTTTAGTGCTTAAAACTGCATAAAATCGTAAAAGTAGTCTAAATCAATAAATCCGTACCTTACAACATGGCTTTACATTTGAATGGAAAACGCTACTAACGCAACAACTGATCAACCATCGCGCAAACCAAAATGCGCGCGAAATGTGCGAACAACACAGCAGTAAAACAAAAAATGTATGCGAGAGAGCTACACCTATGTCACACGCAATGATATGATTCACATCGTGGCACACGATTTTACGCCTTTTCTCAAGCTATGTAATCTAGTCTTCATACAGATTTTATTTATGATGTTAATCCTTCAGCAGAATTTCTCTCACTATTCTCGGCTTCAGCTCAGATTCGGATCCGGAGCTGAATCGTAAAGAATCAAGAGAGAGAAAAAAAGACCCGAAGAGCTGGACGGGTTCGAGAGCTGGACGGGTCCGAGAGTTGTCAACCAAAACAGCTCCCAGTGAATTATTCGAGTAAATGATTTGGATTTGGAGCTGAGCTGATAAGCTGGAGAGCTGCATTTCGGTTATTTGCTTTTGTGCGGATCTTCCGCTCCCCCAGAGAATGATGGGAGAAGAGGTGAGAGCACATATGCTGGGGGAATAACAACAGCAATAAGAGCCGGGTACATAAATACATTGGATAATATTACGCGCGCGTTTTGGTTTACGTGGTCATTGGTTTGAATGGTTCATACTTGTGATATCAGTGAGCTGATGAGCTGCAGTTTCTAAAAAATGAACCGCGGGTCATCAGCTCACTGTAGAGAATCGGGTCTATAGAACAGCTCGGAGCGGATCACCCATCTCTAGTAAGCAGTGTTAGATTTTGAACAATGTCTCAATAATTTGTGGCTCTTTATCAAATCTAATGACACGTATGGAAAGGTGAATAAATTTAGAAGTAATCAGAAGAAGTTGAAACATTCCATTTTGTGTAAAAATCTTGAAAAAGTGTGGTGTGCGGGATGTGCTTAGTAGGCCTAAAACCAGTTCTAAACCCAATGGTTTTGATTTGAAATATTTTCGATTAATCGGATATGAAAATTTTCCAAAAATCTGTAATAATTTGTCATGGACGTAAGGTTTTTAGGACAAATTATTATTTTTAAACCTTAAAATCTTAATTAAATTTTCCTTTGTTTTGATTCTTTATAAACTCAAATTAAAAATTCCGGAGCAAATTGTGATTAGGGTGAAACTAGCAAAAGGTAAACAAATGGAGAAAAACCGAGCAAGTTTGCACGTATTTATTTAATTTTTAATTGATTGTTAAGCAATATTTTTTCTATTGGAATTACATTTATGATCGTTAAATTGATCCATTTTTATTTTTGTTGAGTGTAAAATCTACTTTTTATTAATTTTCTCTTAAAAACTCGTAATTTTTTTATAATTTGGCCCGTAAACGTTAAGAATACGCCCTCATTAAATCGCCCCGAACATGTATGACAACAACAATTCGCCCAATACTAAACGCCTTGTTTTGATTTCCTTTAAAGTGTCGCCCTTCACTTTTCGCCGTGTTTACGTTTCAGCTAAAGATGAGTATTTTACTATTTTCGCTTTTGTTGGTAGACAACATTGTTTTCGCTCGTTCATTGAAATGTTTCAAAATTGCGCCCTGTACTGTCGTAAACAAAGGAAAGAGCGTAATCTATTTTAAAGCTTCTTTTGAAATAAATTTTGTTTCGTCTTTGGCTTTGCACGGATTTTTGCCTGCTCCATCTGCTTGCAGTAAAATCTATGTTTGCTTAAATTTAGGTTGTTTCGCCCTAATCACAATTTACTACGGAATCATCACTCGCGATGCCACTAATTTCTGGTCCGGTAGAAAAAATTAAACAACGCAGATTGCGACATCTCTTCTGATGCTTGCAAACATGATGAATAACGTTTTCTTTCTCGATTCTAAAACTCCCAGGAAAGCGAGAAAACTACCAATCACACACGTTTAACCGTCCGGGAGGCAGAACGCCAGCGCTAATCCGAAAAATGCAGCCGAAAATTATGAAAGCGAACGCACGCACAAAACAGAGAACTAACTTAAAACACAACCGTATCCAAAAGGGTTCGAAACTGCACTCCCATGTATAGACAATATTTACGGTTGCACTTATATTGATAAAATAGCGGAAATAAAGTCAATAATATTGATGACATAAAGTTATATTGTTGTTATTATTGTCAAATTGAATAAATTGAAGGTAACATCGTATTGCCACGATTATTGTGAATATATGGACATGTGTAATGTCCGTTTTAGATGTATATACCAAGGTCATGCGAATTGCTCAGTTAGCAGTACGAAGGGCATACTATACAACCTAAATTTAAGTAGGATGCACTCATTTTCGTCAGAAGTAGGGCTACCCAAAAATTGAGGTAACAAAGTTGGGACGGACAAGATGTCGAATGTAGAACATCCACCTGAATCCGAATGTTTATTTGTTATCTTGTCAATTTCAACGCCCAAACTGAACACGCCTTCCCTCAACGTAAAAATAAAATCAGAAGTTATAAGCCATATGAAATGTCAACCACATTGATCGGATAAACCTAAAAAAACCTTGCCGAGTCGATTTCTCATATTAATTTTCATTCTACGATGTCGCAATAAAACTGTCGAGTTGGATTGATTGGTAATGTTTTATACAGGCGAAATAGTTTTTCTGGTCACAGACAAAACGGCGTGTTGAATCCAATTTAAAAAAAAAAAAACTTTTGTGTTACTCAACTGCGTGACAAATGTAAAACTGCTAACAATCATATCACGACCGAACACAAAAAAAAATTAATATTTCATCCTAGAGGATGCACTTCAATCATGTCGAAAATTTCATGTAATTTTTATGATCACAAAAATGAACATATACAGTAAAAGCAGCGTAATGTCAGTTCATGCACTGTATTAATGATAATTTTGTCCTTTTTGGCAAGTAATATTACACCATATTTAACAACACGCTTGTAGTGTATTTACTTTGATGTGATATCAACATTAATTTTGTGCTGTGTAGAAAAAATCCCTAAATAAAACAACTTTACGGTGATACCAAATCCGGACTACACAGCAAAAAAATAATTTTGATATCACGTCAAAGTGGATGCACTACAATCATGTCGAAAATATGGTGTAATATTACTTGCTAAAAAGGACAAAATTATCATTAATACAATGCATGAACTGACATTACGCTGCTTTTACTGCATTTGTTTATTTATTTGGTCATAAAAATTACATGAAATTTTCGACATGATTGTAGTGCATCCACTTTGATGTGATATCAAAATTATTTTTTTGCTGTGTACATGATTTCCATTGGGACTATCAATCGCTCAACAAACGCTTTCAGTTGAATGTAATGGAAAATGAAGTTTACCTTTCGCTTGATTAGTTTTTGTCATTTCCTGACGTGCATTCAAATCCGTTCCGGTGTCACACTTGTCATGAATAGTTGAACCTGAAATGGAACCAAATGATAAAAAAATAGTATTAGATTTTGCCGTGTACATCATCAAACACGCATATCATTGTATTCATACAGATTCAGCTTTTTTTTTCCCCCAGCAACGTCAAATTCATCACGTCAGCATCATCCGGTGCATAATAAACGTCCATTAAAATCGCATTACGCCATCCATGTTGTTGCTTCTGAATCCTTCTGCTATATTTTATTTTATTTTATTTTAATGCTCCCAACAGCGTGAAAATCCGTTCCGCCATCCCGACTAAACTTGCCCTGTCCTCCTGCATAATAATAAACCGAAAAACTAGGAACAGATCTTGCACATTCCCCAACTTTTCTTGCTGGTCTACCATCATCGAAATAAACACGAAAACAACTATCACAAAACTAAGCGCATAATGCCTCCGTGTTTTTTTTTATCCTTTTCGAAGCGAGGGGATTGGCATCTATCCAGACCGGGCGATGTTGGTTGTTGATGTCCAACCAGTTGTGTCAACGGTCGGACACTTTTGAGTAGCCCCCGACCGATTCGATGCAATTCTGCACTTGTCATTCGAGTCCGTTTTCTTCTATAAACTCGGAAAAACTTTCCACCTCCCACTGACGACGCCGAAAAAAATTCAGCCCAAAGGAAAACTTTTCTTCGCAGCTTGAATTTCAACTTTTTCCTTTGACGAAGCCCTGCTGCTGCTGCTGTTGACGGTAATATTGCACAGCAACGCCAGGGACGTATAAGCAAGAATTCCAATTGTTGTTTAACATCTTAAACTCTTCCTTGAGAATTGAGAAAGTTCTTACACCGGTAGAATTTTAAAAACTAATCAACCTGGAACCTCCCTGTGCTCGGCACGATTCAAGTTTCGTGCTTTGGCCTAATCAGCTCTAGTTTGCAAACCATTCCGAAAATTATGTAAGCCAGTTGGTCAACAGCGGTTACGCAGTCACTGTTCACTTTAATCAAATGCCGAGGAAAGCCGCCGAAAACTGTTTGCGTCTTTTCCTCATTTCCAAATCGGCGATTCTTTTCTTTTAATTGACCGGAGACGTTTGTTTTCCCACAGTTGCACGAAACTTGCGTAATTACTGTTTGCCAACGTTTTTTGTTGTTGTTGTTGTTGTTGTTGTTGCGTTGCGGAAAGTGACAACCGAAAACGTATAAAGCGAAAGTCAGTCAGGCGGAATTTTGCTTACCCAAATATTTGAGATTCTGGCGTAACCGAACTATCTTCACCGGTGAGCATGAATTATTCAATGCGGATGATGCCAGGGTTTTCCCAGCCAGTAGGGTGGGTTGTTTGAGGATGGAATGGAAAGTAAACATAATCGCCTGGTGGATGCGTAATCTCCGATGGTAGATTGCTCGAATTACAATAGTCATTGCAATTTCGGAAACCTTTCCCGGTGTAATTGAAAGCAGAGGGATTTGGTGTACAACGCAAATGCAAGATCCCCAGGGTGAACCGAAGATGTTGATGGCATGTTTCAAAAACTGTTACGGACTAAGATTTGTGGATTCTATTCTTGAATAAAACTTTACTTTTACTGCAGTGCTCCTAGCGGTCGGATCTGGAATGTTTTGACAGCAGTTTGTTTTGAAATGTTTCCTGTTACAGTTATACTTGATGGAAGCCGCGAAAAATTAATTTGGGACATCCACTTGGTCAGGTTCAAAAATCGCGAATTCGTTGAAATTGGCTAAATCGATTGTGTGAAGTGTTCTCAAACGTTTCCGTGTGCGACATACTATCGATCGGCAGGATCATAGCAAGCGTCGTTGTGGTACTAAGGATCGGAAGTTGTATTTGAAGTTGTTGAGAACGATTAGAGCAAACCCAGGGCTGTCGGATTATGATATCGTCAAGAAATTCAATGCTAGCCAAAGCCCCTTCAGAAGGATTTCGATCTTTTCGGGCCAGTAAGCAACCAAACAGGACGCTGAAGTAGAATCTAGCAGCCAAAAGACGTGCCCGGAAGTTGTACAATGAGGTTCTTACAAAGTACGAATGATGCATCCATATGGACGACGAAACGTACGTGAAGATGGATTAAAGGCAGCTTCCCGGACAAAAGTTCTATAAAGCCACTGGTCGAGGTGATGTCCCTAGTAAGTTCAAATTCGTTTTTGCTGATCAATTTGCAATCTGGCAAGGTATTTGCAGCTGCGGACAAAAGCCCCTGGTTTTCGTGACAAATTAGACTATGGATTTCAAAATGTACAAGCAGGAGTGCCTGAAAAAACGTATTCTTCCGTACATTAAGGCTCATAATGGACCTGTAAAGCTTTGGCCTGATTTGGCAAGCTACCACTAACGAGGAGAAGTTCTACAGTAGTATCGAGACAACGGGGTAGATTTCTTCGAAAAGGACATTAATCCTTCCAACTGCCCTCAATTCCCAATTGACAAATATTGGACAATTGTCAAACAAAAGTTGAAGAAGAGTGGAACGGTGACTCGGGATGCGACAGAGATAAAGAGATGGTGGAACAAAACGACCGCTCAGGTTAACCAACAAATTCAAGACCAACAATTGAAATGGCCTTAACTCCATTTTGTAAACAAACCATGTAAGGCCATTTTCTCGCGAACCGAAACCTTCATTTGCAAACCTAAACCACGATCGGGTAGAGTAGAATTTCCCCTACCAGTTCATTATGTTGGTTTGCCTTTGCGGACTTCGGTTCGCGAGAAAAGAGCCTTACAAGGTTTGTTTACAAAACGGAGTTAAAGCCATTTCAATTGTTGGTCTTGAATTGTCCAAAATATGATGAGGGGTATTCGAAGAAAAGTTCGAGATTTCATCAAAACCAAATCGGAATAATTTGATTCGTTATTTTTCCTTCAACGTGCAATAAATGACCTTCATTTTGAGTACTCAACTTTTTTTTGACGTAGAACTATGTCTTTGTCGACTATACTGGGGTGCAAATCAAAAAAATATGTGTGGTGAAGGAGTGTTACGTTTTAAACGCTTGTTACTTTGTCATTTATAGATGAAATTGAAATCCAAATACGCCAATCGATAGGATATTACATTACAAACCTGCTGAAATAAATATTTTTCCAATTTTTCTGTAATTAAACTTCTGAAAATGTACAAATGATAATTTTATCACTGTTTCCATGACAAAAGCCTTTTTTCCCAAACCCAGTCATCATAAACGAATACCACTTGGTTGCACATCATTCTACTTGAACCTGAAAAGATATAAATCAGTGATGCTCTCCTGCCTCTGCAGCCGGACTCTTTGCTCGACTGTTGAGCTGTTCAGTTCGTTTTCTTTTTCGCTCGAGTTCTCGCTTCGATTCGGTTTGTGCTGTCGCGTTGCGCCGTGGAAGCGTCGCCACCTTCGCGCGTTCTGGCAAGTTTACTGCAACTTGCCAACACGAAACAAATGGTGCGTAAACGTACCAATGATTCAGCAGCGGGCCCTTCAAAGAAGGTGGTAATCCAGCACAGCGCGTCGCAGGATGACGCCGGAAAACGGGTACTGCAAGCCAACCAGTTTGCGGTGCTCCCCGAAGATGACGTCGTTCCTATCGCTGCAAGAGAGCGGATTCCCCCGCTTATCACGCCGGAGAAGGATGTTGCCAAGCTGCGTGCCGAACTGGCAAAACACAAGCTGCTGCCTCGCTTCAAGCTTTGCAGCATCGGCACCAAAATCATGTGCTCCAGCCTGGAGGAGTACAATCAAACAGGATGTTTCCTAAAGGAAAACAACGTTGACTTCTTCACGCACGATCTGCCATCGAGCAAGCCACTGAAGCTGGTATTGCGTGGATTACCGTCGTTCGAGGCGGCTGTGGTTAAATCCGAGCTGGAGCGGCTTGGACTCAAACCTGAGGCGGTGTTCCCAATAAACCGGCGTTTCAACCACAACACCAGCTTCCGTGACCAGTTGTTCCTGGTGCACTTCACGAAGGGATCCACCAGTCTAGCGGTTCTGAGATCCAAAATCCGGGACCTGTTTCAGGTCATCATCAGTTGGGAACATTACAAATCCCAACATCGTGATGTTACGCAGTGTATGAACTGCCTCTCCTACGGCCATGGCACCAAAAACTGCCATATGAAGACTATCTGCGGCAAGTGTGCTGGAACTCACTCGACTGCGTCCTGTGAGCAAGATGATGACATCGAGCCAACGTGTGTCAACTGCGGTGGTAACCACCAAGCCTCCAATCGCGGATGTCCCAAGCGAGTGGAGTTCATCAATATCCGTCGGAAGGCTACGATCAATAATCAGCCCGGTCGCCTCCGTAATCATCGTTCGCCTCCTGCACGCACGGAAGTCCAGTACCCAGCTCTCCAGCCCCGTCGACATGTTCCGAACTTAGAACCACTTCCGCTCAACAACCAACAAGTCAAGCATGTGAGTATTCCTAACAATCGAACAGTCCAACATCGTCTCGCTGCTGCTGCTGCCCAGCCAATGCCAGGTCCCTCCACCGCCCCTGGTTTATCATACGCTGGTGTTGTCTCAGGTGAGCCTGTCGACGATTCTCCGTTCTCCTCGGAGGAACTTGTGACGCTCGTGGCCGAGGTCATCATCATCTTGAGCACCTGCAAGACTCGATCTGAACAGCTTCATGCTGCCCTGTCCCTTGTCACTAAGTATGGACCGTGAAGCCATCAAGATCGTAAATTGGAACGCTTGCTCCTTGAAGAGCAAAAACATCGAGTTTGTTGAGTTTCTCAATGAACGAAACATCGACATTGCCATCATAACTGAAACCCACCTGAAGCCTGAAACAAACGTCTACCTTCCCGATTTCCGGCTCGTGAGGCTAGATCGAACCAACTCTGGAGGAGGAGGAGTGGCTATTGCAATAAGGAGAAACATCTGCTGTCGACTGATGCCCAGCTTTCAGCTGAAGATCATCGAAGCCGTAGGGGTGGAAGTTTCTACTCCTATCGGCCCCATCACCATCGTCGCGGCTTACTGCCCCAAACAAGTCAACATCAGGGACGGATCGGCAGCAGATCTGCGACGA